CAGGGTATTTTTTCTTGCAAAAACAAGCATGTGTGCACACATGCACATGCAGGGGTTGCCTTCTACTTGAGATCACAAAGCCATCCAGGGGTCCCAGCCTTCTGCAGTGGGAACATGGTGTTAGGAGCCCCCCCATGTATCTATCAAGGAGGAGCAGTGGGTATAGAGTCCAGACATTACAACTCTTCAACATCAAACATAGGGCAAGACAGGAATATTAGGTACAAAATGTTTTTACAGCATTTTTCTGGAAAGGAAACTCTGCCAAACCACCTAGCCTACATTTTATGACAGCAGATACAGTACGTTTTGGTCTAGAGAAAGATCTGCCTGACCAGGATATCATGGACTCAGTTTATCTTGCCAACTGAGCACATTTAGTATTGCCTGATCGTCCCTAGATTGCTCAGACCTCATATTGCTGATTGAAGGATCCAACAACTTGTCATATATGCAAGCTGGGCAAAAATGAAAGATTACACAAGGTCACTTTTGAAAAAATGAGAACAAAATTCATTTTTCTAATAAGACGAAACTAAACCTCATTTGCTGACACGTCACTGTTCATGCTGTATGCCACTGCTCTTCTCATCTTCTAATACTCCTTTCCCCGTGTCTGAGAAATCCCCAAAACTTGATTCCTGCCATTTCACTAACATTTCATAGATCTATTTCTAGAACAGTAACATACATTGTTCCTTACAATATGAATTTAGTCCATTTCCTCAAATAGAGGATGGCTTTGCCAGTGGATTTTTTTTTCTTCATATTTTGGGTAACTAACTGAAATGCCGGTTTTGAGAACAGTTTGAGGAAGAGTTTGCCTGTCTAGAAACAGAGAGTTACTGTCTACGCAGGGTCAAACTATGACTTAAAAACAGTAAAATGTGGCTTTATTTGAAGAAACAACTGTGCCTGTAGCTGGGTTTTTCATCCTTACATTTGTTTTGGCAAACACCTCAAGGCCTGACATCTTTTGAGGGTGCTCTAATTCAACAAGTGTCCCTGAGCTCTCTCCCAGAAAGCATCAGACCTCTTCCCTTCATTCCCACATAGCCAAAGTGAGATGATTTCTCTGAACACAGAAGCAAGTGACATCTAATGAACTTCTTAGATAATAAGTGAGAAACAAATTCAAATTCATATCTCTAATAAAATTTTGAGGTACTGTTCTTGTGAAGTAATTTCCCTTTGACTTATTATGATGTCCATAGCCATGGCAGATACAGGAAGCAAAGGATTCATATCTCCACAGGGAGCATGTCCTTCTGGATCAGCCTTTAGGGAAATCATTAGATGAAACTGAGAGCAGTGACATTTAGATGAAGGTGAAGGAATGAAGCTGCCTATCAAAGCTTGTAATAATAAAGCCTATTTGTATTTATCAGGTTGCACTGTGGGTGAATCCTCTGTTCTCACACAGCTGTTTATATTGCACTGTTTATAGTTTTGTCTTCCCTATAGTCCCAATGGGTAAAACAGATGAAAACACCCTGCAATAACCCAGATCTCAGACAATATCAAAACAGGATTCAGATTGATATTCTTGCCAGACTGCACTAGCGTGGTGGAGGAGGTGTGCACATCTACAGTCACTTAGTTTCCCTGCTCAGACTACAAACCATTCCCTATCTATCTTCACTGCCCTGTGACTGCAAACCCATTCCCCATCTACTCCATATGCATTTGCAAACAGGGACCCATACTTGTTTTCAGGCACAGGCAGACACCTGGTTGACCAAGGCACTGTTGGATCCTACAGACCTTTGGTTCTTTATGCTCTGGGACACACGAACCCTAAGAAAGTCCTGTCATGGGTCAAGAGTCTACCTTGACACTTGTGACTGTGCTACACTCAAAGCCCTCCTGCCTTATGTTTCAGCTTCTCCCTCCTTGCCTCTTCCTCACCAGACTCATGAATACAGGCAGTGCAGACCTCCAGGCTTGCTGATGCTGGGCTGATCTCCAGCCCTGCCAGGGACCTGTTCACCACAGGAGTGCTTTGCCCTGCCCTGAGGTGAATCCCAGGAGCATTTTCATGCTCTGTAGGCATAGGCTGCACAAAAGAGAAGGGGCTGATGCCACGAGGGCTCCTTCCACCTTTCTCCAACAGCTCTTTCTTCACAACAGTCTGAGCCAAGATCAGACACCTACACCATATCAGAGAGCTAGGCTTGAGTGACGACAGCTTAAACTAGTTGGGATGGGCAGGGGGAGGGCATGCACCAGGTCCAGTGTCATATACCACTGGAGACAGGGAAGAGACAGTCTCTGTCAGCCAGAGCCTCCTGCCTCATCAGTGGCATGTGGACACTACCAATGCTCTATCCACTTTTCCCAAGGTCAGTCCCTGTTTTCTTAGGAAGATCATATTGGCTGAAGCTGAGTAGGGAACTAGCAAGAGGCAAGACAAAACATTTGAAACATCCCCCAGTCTTCTCAAAAACACCTTGCCCTCTCCGGTCCATCCAGACATATATTTGTTGCCTAGAAAAGTTGTTCTGCCACTAGGACAAACTCCAGCTTTGCTAGGCCTGGAAGGAAGAAGTAATTTTGCACTCCCTAGTGAGCAGCATTGTGCTGGCTTTGCTGGGCCCCAGCCCCAATCCTTCCCTCCCCTATTCCCACCTTTCCACCTTTGTCCCATCCACTTACCACCACATCCCTTCCCTGCTCTTCCTTGGCCTTGCTTCCAAATCTTGAGGAGTAAAGGCAGATCCTGGCCCTGGCTGGGTCTTTGCAGCAGACATCATGGGGGGAGTAGCCTGGGGAGTTGCAGAGCAACAAGTTACTGCCAATCCATATGGTTTACAGTAGCCACTAAAGTGTTCGTAGTGATAACCGCTTGTGCAGAGGTGCTCACCTGAGCCGCAGATGAGGTGTTTCCACGCTATCATGGCTCCAATTGTGGCAGCTCAGGGAAGTGCATCCACACCAACAGAGGGGAGAAAACCCCTCTGCGGTCCTGTGGGTCACCAAGGCTGGCTTAAAGAATTGAATACTGCTCCTCTACCATGACTTTGAGAGCACATTTCCATCTTAGTGGGGATGGAAAAGTCAGTATAGGAGTCTGTCCTATTTTTTCTGACTATAGTGACTTATAGGCTTGCATTTACAAGGCTTGAAAAAGGGAATTAGGAGTTTCACAAACCGCACCCAAAGTTGTAAATGCTCTTTAACTGTCAGAAATGGGCTGAATTTCAGACAGTGCTGTACAGAAGTTTCCATTGACTACCAGTCATTCATTTATTATATCTTTTCTCTTACTGATGCATCTGTGGTCTAACTGGACCACGTACTCCCCATTTTTCAGGCAGTAAGTTAGCAAAGGAAGCCAAAGTAGTTGATTAATGAAGTTCATTAATCTGAGAACATGAAACCTAGAAGAAACAAAGAACTTAAAGTAAATAAACTTCACATTTTTTTCATTTATTTATCCTTTATTTAGTAATAGCACCCAAAGCTGCATTATATTAACACAAGTAATAAAGCTTTCATATTTTATTCCTACCAGTGCATTTCCAAATCCAGGTGAAATGCTGGAAATAAGTAATGCTGCTGTATCGTGAACACAGGGTGTAGATCACAATGATAAATGACTTACAAGTGAATCCCAATGTAATAAAATAAAAAGTTGTAGTTTTGGTATAAAACCTGTAACCTAAGGAAGTGTGGCCATTTCTATTTCCACAAAGTACCATAACAAAACAGCGGCTGTAGGAACTATAAAGATAACATACTTAATCATACTTTTTGCATCACTTTATTGAATACTCCATGTTGGATGTACAACTTATAGCTATAGTGTGTGTTGGCTACAATGCTACAATGAGAATGTGTATTGCTTGTATCACAGAAAGGGTCATGAAATGTATGGACCTGTCTGCATGTTTAACAAAATGAAACAGCAATACAATAAAACTGCACCACATGTGAATATTGCAAATGGTTAAGTTATAAAGTCATTCATTCAAAAATCCAAATATTTCAATGAAAAAGTATATAAAATGTAGTAAAACATAAATTACATTTAAAGGTCTGTACATGATTCATCCTGCAAATAGAAGCACAAAACCAGCACTTCGTACAGTATTGCTTATTTTGGTCTTCTAAAGTTCAAAGATTCATTTTCACTAAAGAGGCAGGAAAAAACATGGTTTCACATGCAATCCAGCAATAATTGCGGTAAATCAAGTTAAGTCTATAACCCCGCACAAAACCCAACACTTTTACGATGTAGGAACATACATGTGGAGCCCTTTTCTATACTTGATACCAATATGCAATTAAAGTTGGATTGTTAAGTTAGTGCACACCTACAATATCCCCTACAATATCCCCATTTTTGGTTAACAGTGTATTAAGGCTGCTTACTGCTGAAAATACACAGCAGAGAAGAAATACTTTCATCCACAAATGCAGTCAGACGATCTCATTTGGAAGCTTCTGTCACAGTCATTCATTGGGAATGATGAAAGAAAGCCATCCTCTCTCCTCTCATGTTATTCCACAGGATGTTGTGGATGCTATAAGTTTATGTGGGTTCAAAATCATTTGGATAAATTCATGGTAGAAAATTCCATCGAGGGCTATTAAACAGAAAAAGATTCCACTTCTGGCTTGGGAAGTCCCTAAGCCACAAATTGCTGGAGGCTGGGGAAATAGCCTGAGGAAATTCTACAAAGGAAATTGCCCTTGCAGTCTTCCCTGGGCAGACATTATCAATGGCCTTTCGAGACATGCTACTGGGCTGGACAGACCCATGGTCTGACTCAGCACAGCCAATTTTATGTTCAGTTTCCTTACTTTTCTGGTTATCGCAATACCAACATGGAACAGTATTCTCAACTTGTTATTTTTTCAGACTCAAAAAGCAAACAACAATCCCGTGTCCATTATATCAAAGAGATAAATATTATAAACTAAGCTGTCCATCACATCCAGGGCACTTCTTTATGCTCAGAGCAATTCTGCAACCATGGTTGGATTCCTTTTTGTGTTATTGGTTTAAGCACAATTCACTAACATTACACTCACATATCATGATATACATGATGTGCAATGCTACTCTGCAATACGTTGCACAGCAACAGTACATAACTGAAAAGCAGCTTCCCTCAAGAACTGTAGGACAGTAAAAAAGATTAAACTCAGCAATTCTATACCATCATATTCGCAAAATCTGATGGTGGCAATGGTCAATATACCTGGTATATCATTACTGCTGCACTTTACCTGGGTGTAGGTTTTTTAGTTTTGTTTCTTTCAGTCAGATCAAAATCACTGCTATTAAGCCTAAGGATCTACAGTCTTGATGCATGGAAGTGATGTGAAATTCTTAGTGAGGAGGCCAAATTCTTCAGGCTTCTGATTGAATTTCTGCTTCGTCCATCTGAAGTGTGTCATTGTCGCCCAGCAATTCTGTTTCAGGCACAGAGCCCTCCTCTTCCTCCTCCTCCTGGACGGGATTCTGGGCGATGTCGTCTGTTCCGTTGTGCGTGTCATCCGTGCCCTCCGAGAGTAGAGCAGCCCTGTCGGCCACCGATGCATTGGAAGGCGCCGTTGTTACGTATCCTGTACTGGTGGATCCACTCCCACTGTGGTGAGAGCCTGGTTTGGGAATGATCTGGGGAGGCATTTGCTGAGGAGCCATTTGCATTGGAATTTGGACGGGGTAAAAATTTGGCAAGTAAGCGCCATAGGCAGGCATTGGCTGGGGAACATTGACTGGAATGTAGAGCTGAGGAGGTGGGACCATCGGTCTCATCTGCCCTTTCATTTGTATGAACTGCGGTTGAGGAAAAGCTGGAGTTTTCTGCTTTGGTCCAATGTACCTAGCATTGCTGACATTGCTAACGGGGCTTGTGCTGAGAGAACTTGTTTGCGTGGTGTTGCTTGCCCCAGAGGTTTGCGCTGAGCTGTTGTAATTAGAAAGGTTTCCCCATGTTCTTAGTCTGTTGTGTATATCTTTAAATCTTGGTCTTCTGTTGGGAAATTCATTCCAACACTCCAACATCAAAGTGTATATCCATGTGGGGCAGTCATCAGGACATGGCAAAACCTGTCGGTTCCTGATCATCTCGATGACATCCTGGTTAGAATAACCACAGTAAGGCTGCAGGCCATAGCTGAAAACTTCCCACAACACAACTCCGTATGACCATATATCCGAATCAATAGAAAACTTGCCATACATAATAGCCTCAGGGGACATCCACCGAATAGGAAGAAGGGAATTTCCCATCAGTTTGTAGTAATCAGCAGCGTAAACTTCCCTGAAAAGGCCTAAATCAGATATTTTCACATTCAGTTTATCAAACACCAGTATATTTCTAGTGGCCAAGTCCTTGTGGACAACATGGTGGCTTGAAAGATATTCCATTCCTGCAGCTATTTGAGTCACAATGTGGAAAAAGTCTGCTGGTTCCAGAGTGGATTTTACTGTCTTGTCATCGTCAGTGCTGCCAACATCTGAATGGGGAGATCTCATCACCAAGAACTCATGGAGGTCACTATGAGAACAATAACTAAAAATCATGCTTATGGGTTGTTCCTTCGTCACTATTCCCAGCAAACAAACAATGTTTGGGTGCTGTAATCGTGATCTCATCATTGCCTCATGTTTGAATTCTTCCCGAAGAGCCAGTTCCGCTTTGTCTTTAAGTGTCTTGATAGCAACAGCTTGTGTCTGTTCACCTGGTGCTGTACCAAAAAGATGCCCCTTGTAGACTTTTCCAAATCTCTCCTCTCCTAGCTCCTCCATAAACCGCACAGTGGACAGATTGATTTCTTTAAGTTTAGCCTGAAATGAAGTAAAGAAAGTAAGTCAGTAAAAAAATCACAATATGTTTTCTAAACAACAGAATCTCTTATTAGAGAAAAGTTCCCAGAGGTTAGATGCTCCAAATGGAAGATAAATTGGACCAAAATGACTTTTCAGCTTTTTGTATATTCATATCAGTATATTGATTTTAGAGTTAACCTTGAAATGAGTTATACTATTATCAGAAGTGTATATTGAATTATGCTGCAAGATGATGAGTATAATTATTTTTACAAAGGAGCGACCATATTTCCTGCAAGCTAAATGAACAATCATTTCAGAGTAAATCTGGCAAACAATGACACCTATTAACTGCAGCTGCACTTGCCCTACAGATCTGCCCAGAGGTGCCCACTGGAGTTCTGTCAGAAAAGCTGTGGGCACTGGCTGAGGAGGTGGCAGCCTCACGGTGAACTGAAACATCCCTTTCAGTAGAAGGAGGAACAAAACCTCTCTCTTTTGGTTCTGCAGTAGCAGATATGCCCTTTCTCCTCCATTGCACTACAGAACAGCCCCTGCCTGTGGGTAGCAGTACACAGTACCCTTGCTAAGAAACCTCACACTAATTCTGATGGAGAGGGTGTGGAAGAGGAGCAGAAGGAAGAACGAATTTCTCTCTGGTACATGAAAGAAAAGGTGGCAAAGCCAAGAGTGAGAAATCCCACAGCCTCCCTCCTGCAGCTGCCAGGGAAAGCAAGGGAGTTTGTGACAGTGATCTAATGGGTCTGTCCTGACCACCATGGGCTGGAGGAGTCCCCGACCGAGCCAGATGCAGCTGGCACAGCTCCATACACAGGGCGTCGCAGCAGGAGGGAGCAGGGCAGGCTGGAAATAGGCTTTAACAGGTGATTTGGGAACAAGCTTCGATTTTAGTGGCCAACAGACTGTGGACTGGACCAGACAGCTTCCAGCACAGCCCAGACTCAGCCATTAAACCTTCCCCTTACCACACAAAATGAATGCAATTTATTACCATTGGCAATATCCCACAAATATTCTGCAGTTTCCTGAACAGATGTTGCCAATTGTTCCAAATGGAGCATTGTTTTTTGAAGCTTGCATCTTGTAAATGCTGTGATTAAAAATTCAGCATTAGCTCTGAACAGAATTTTAACGTGGAGATCAGTCAGTTGACCCAGAAAATCATATGCAGGAGCTGAGATCCGTAGATGGAAGTTCAAAGCCATTTTCGTTTCACCATCCTTTGTGATACACAGAAACATGTTGCACCCTGGCTCAGCTCCCCGCTCAGTGGCAGTTCAGAATACCAGCAGACTGAGCCGACAGATTAGACAAGAAACCCCACCGTGCATCCTGCTTTAAACAAGCAAACGGGCCACATCATTACCAGGAGTGAAAATGAGCTGTAGGCTGAAGACTGCATCAGAAATAACGACGTTTCCAGTCACTGAGACAACAGGCAGAATGGGGATTGACAAGTAAGGGCAAATGTCATAAAATACTTTGTCCTGAAAGCTGTTGCCCAAGGCCAAGATTTCTAGATACAGCTAGCAAGTGTGAGACCTGGTTTTCACTGAAGTAGACGGCCAGCACAGTACGAAAATTAGCTCCCTTACAACATGGCTCAATTCGAACACTGACAATCTGAGACGCTGAAAATCATGACACTTTGGAAATATGTGGCCTAAGCAAATTCTGGAAAAAATACCTGTTTGTGTTGATTAATGAGTGGCATTTCCATGTCCTGGCTAGGAGATGCCATCAGCTGGCGGCGCTGTGGTGTAGCAGCGGATGCCTTCTGCTTGTTTCTGCACATACAGACCAGGAAAAAAAGGCAGGCAATAACCAGAGGGATGGCTATGCTGGGAACCAGGATGTAGAGGATTCCCATTTTACTGTTGTCACGTGGACCTGTCAGGCAGAGAAATGTTCATTGTTTAGAATAAGTATTTTTAATGTATTTGATAGTGAAGAAAAAAAACCCCTACACTATGATTATTACTACTATATTTTAAACAAAGAGTAAACTCCTATACCTTTAAAACAGACATTCCGTTACCCTCTCCCCCTTCTCCATAATTTTCCATGAAATATTTCAAAGAAGTTTGAACGGATATAGCAACTAGCAGTATGAAGGTAAACTACGAGCCCCACATTTAATGTGTTGACTGTAACAGTATGTGGTTCATTTCACTTTATTTTTGAGGCTTCTGGTTGTGGAAACTGCAGAACATAGACCAGAGTGTCATTACATTATCTTGTTCAGGGGACAAAAACCAAGTGGGTAGTCTTCATCACAGAATATAAAGCAGTGAACTCAATGTGATAAACCACAGCACAACATTGCAGTCTGGCCTTCTCACCCAACTTCAGCCATTTCATCAGCACTTTGCCCACTTTTTACCTCCACTGGTACTACTTCTGCCCAGAATAAAATAAATCTCACTTCTCACTGGTAGAGATATTATTTGTTCTGTACTTAAAAGATTAAAATGCTTTTATGTTACAGTGAGACAGACATGAAAAAGCCATCAATACACTTAATAAGACTGTTCTGGAACCTTCCTAAAATGCTTTTTTCTTGATACTTAGAGACTCTAGGAAAGCATAGTGATGTCCAAAATGTTCATTGGAACTGCCTGGGATGTTTTCTGCAATCCGTGGTTTTGCTATTTGTGGCTACTGTTTTCACCACAACCACATCCCAGTGTTATCTTTACACCATGTTACATGCAACACAGAAATTTATTATAAATGTCAAATCATGTTACTGTAAAAAAGTGAAGTAACTAAGAAATTTCATATCAGTTTTGAGCGCTCTTAAATATCCAGGCAATCTGTAACAAAACCACTTTTACGGCTTCCATGATACATTTGTTGCTGCAGGAAACATGCTTTTCTTCCTAATGAGGCACAATGTTAAGTTACTTTGTCGTGTCCAAAGACTGTTACCACTGTAACAGATCTTAGAGTGAAGGCTGTACCAACACAGGGAAGTGAGTGCGACAGTATTAAGCTATGAGAGCTGTGCTTTTTATTTTTGCTATCACTTGTGCAGTACAGACCCACTAGCAGATAATGTAGGACTTTTCTGACAAGATCATCTGTTTTATGACATCTGTGCTTCTGCACTTCACACGGTTTCCTTCCAACCAAGCATGGTGCTATATCTCCCTCTGCAGGATCTGAAAATCCTTGCTGCCTGCAAGATGCCATACAAACTGAAAGCAATGTACCATTGAGTAGTGTGAGCAAACCAAACACATACAGGTGATAAGTACATCATGCCTGGTATTTGACAAGTTAGAATACAAACTACAGTAATATCGTTAATTATTATCTCAGCTTAAGCACACAATATGTAATAAAAAAGTGTCACAGTATCTCCGTTGCAAGCTCTGATCTCCAGAAAATACTAAATGCCTACAACACAAAACAAGGGTGCCACATTACAGCAAGTGAAACATTTGAAAGCATAACCCTCTTAAGTGAATTGTACTTGTAAAAATAGGGAACATTCAAAATTACACAGGATTTGGGACAGTAGTAGGTGAAAAAAGAAAGAGAATACATACTACAAGAAGGTATGTCACACAGTTCCATGCGTACGTTTTTATTCTTTGTAAAACACCAAGGCCCATCCATCTGACCTCCAGGATTTCGGCAATATGCATGTCCTCCACCTAGCTCTGGAAACTGTGTGCTTGTCAGATCATGACTGTGGGGACTCTGGGAGTCCCAGAGTTGGCAAGTGTGGCCAGACTTCGTAACGCTGACTGTCCCTCTGTAGTCTGCTCCAGAACCGTTGTAGCACTGATGATCTGCAACACAGGGTTTGGCAAAACGTTGCGAATAACAAAACAATCAAGGGCCAGCAAGACCAAAAGGGTTGAAGCACACGGCATACGTATGCAAAAAGTACTTCAGGATTTAAACGAAAGCTGTGGATTTTGAAATTTCAGTTCTGAGAGTACCTGTACTCTCACACCCAGTTATTTCTGGATTCTGTCCTGGAGTGTCTCAGCTCTATGGCTATACGCACCAATATTTGGTAACTCTGAATGCAAGCTGATACTAAGGAGCATCTATGGACCTTTAGATACAGGACAAGTTAAGTTAAACTAAATTAGAGATACGAGTTTCACTTCAGGAAAAGTGTTCAGATGCCAACAGTGTAATCTTCCCACCACTTTTATTTCTCACAATCTTCCTGTCTTCCTCACACTGCTCACTTCCTAGAGAAATTAGTGCTGTATTTTCTAATGCTTCTTGCCCATTTTTCCTGCTTTTCTTCTTTAGAAAGAAGACTTTTCTTCTCTTTAGATACATCACTTTCATATCTGCTGAACTCCTACCTTTATTTTCTGTTTTGCTGCTATCCTCTTCATACTTTTTGAGTGGTTGTCTCACATATATATCATCTGAACTGAATCATGCATTTTTCTATATGTTTGCAACATTGCCTTCTCCAATTTTCCAAGTCCACCTCCCCAGACCTCAGGAATCCAGCCCTCTCAAAGTCCTTCCTCCAAACCCCCAGGGTACTCATGCCGCAGCTGCTCCACCAGAGGAGCACTGCTGGCTCTGAGGATCACGGGTGACTTCTGCCAGATTTTTTGTTGGTTTTATTCTCATTCCTTTTGCTTGATACCTTTTCCCTGGCTGATTTGTCTCTGTCATTGTTTCCTCAGTTATTTCTGCTTCTCAGCTACACCAGATTATTGCTTTACTAGCACACAGCTAGTCTCCTGTGCCCACCGTTATGCCATGATCCCTGCTCACAGGTGGGGTTTCACACAGTGGATATTCAGAATAACATTGTCACACTTGGAACTTTAAACATCTTTAGTCTCTTGGAGTTTCCTTGTTGAACATTGTAGGGGGCGGTGATTAACTGCTAGGAAACGGAGTAGGCAGAAAAATTGTCAGCACATAATTACTGACAACGGAACAGCCCTTCTACTCCTGGATGCAAATAAAAATCCATGGTAGCGAGATCAATGTTTTCATCCATCCTATGTAAGTGAAGAAAGAAAATTACACTCCACACTTGATTTACAGGATTAATATTCTTGTGGATTTCCATATAGAAAGAATGAACATTAAATGTTTAATTTCTTAACAGATTTTTCCAGGGAAGCTTCTACAGTCTATCTGAGGTTTATTGATAGGTAAACAGAACTCACAAATAGCTGTATGGGAGGGCTCATCCAGAAAGGCAAGGACTGAGCCAGAGGTGGGGGCAGGCATGTGGGAACGGAAGCCTGCAATGCACTGCTGCCCCTTGCAAATCTGAGTCAAATCAGTTGCGTGAACACAAAGTTTTATAGCCCAGGGTGGTTGATATAACCCTTTTCAGTACTAAGCAGGACCCTTTAAACTTTCTCGCCATCCTAACTATACTTTACAACAGTGCAAGATTACCGTCAGTATTAACATGATAAAAAGTAGTAGCATCCAGCATAGCAGTACTTTCTTTACAAGAAGAATGACTGATAAGATGTTGTCTCTCAGAGCCAACCTGAGGAAGCAACAAACCCTACTTTTTCCCAGTGATGAAACATGCAGACTTACATCGGCTGAGTCTCTCCACAGGGATTCCAATCCTTATGCAGTTGGCAGCTTCCAGGGTGTCAGGTCGTGGGAGATCCTCACACTTAGGCAACTGTAGCTGCATCAAAATGAGGGGGTTTGACCTAGCGATGTTGTACTCCTGCCTACAGAGATCATTCTCCAGAACTTCACATTCATCCCGGCACAGCTCCCGCGGCTTAGGGGTCCGAGAACGCTCGTCACACAGGGGAAACACAAAGTGGCAGAAAGATGGTATCGCGAACTGTGAGCACTGATCGGACAAATGCGTGGAAGTGCCAATCATGGTAAACGCAGCTGGAAAGGAACAAAAATATTGTTTAAGTATTAATTCATGAAAAGCATGAGAAGCAACATAATTTTCATGTCATTTGTCTTTTACAAATTTCATCTTTTCTTGAGGGTCTGAGAGCCTGCTAAGCAGTGGGGAAATGAGGTCATTTCTTCTGTAAAGGAGAGTTGACAAATGCAGAAAGCAAAGCCAGCATCCCAGTGTCACTCTGACATCTGCACAGAGCTTGTAGGACCTCAGTTCTTGAGAAATTACCTAAGTGACTAGCATTGAGCAAACTGTGGGCGCTTGACTAATTTTAACTTGAAAGGATAAAGAGTAAAGGCAAGATACACCTGCCAGGATGCTGACATGTATTTCCAAAGTTCCTAATTAGGCAAAATTTGAATGAGCGTCACCTAGCTTCTTCCTCTTGTAGACATTTTGATCAATAAACAAGACAAGTGTTTTTCAAGTCTTGACAGGCAAAAGGAAGAATGCCATTGGTATTTGGAGACATATTGCTATTAATAGACATGAGAAGCCTAACAGGCAGCAGTTTTGGGAAAAATGAATGCAATCAATCTCATCATACTGGTCACATTAAGATTAATGTCATAATGAATTAGGAACTTAATCCTCCCCTTCAGCTCTCAGAATCTACACACTAACATTTATCTGAGAGTTTTCTCACATGTTGCAAAGAAAAGACAAATGTGCACCATGTATCTGGGGATGAATCAAGCTTTAAATGCAGGAATGTTCATTCCTGCACTGGAAAGCATCATTTGTGAGTGAGGCTTGCTAGACCGCACGTTCCACCAATGCGCACTGTAAAAAGAGAGGAAATGAGCAGTTCAAGTCATTCAGCAGTCTATTTACAACCTACAGATCGATTCTTTCCCTCTTATCCACCTCTCTCCTTTCAACCATCTACTTCCTGCTGCCACCTGCTATCAGAGTCTCCTGTCTCTTCCTAAACACCACCCATGCAGCAAGCAGCCCCAGCTCCAGCCTTTTGCACGTTTTACACCTTTGCTTATTTTAATGCAGGCATATTAACACAGGAATATAACCGTTTATCAGTCATATAGGGAACACTGCATGCAAACATGATATCAGGCCTCAGATGACAGCTGTGACATGTGCTTGTCCTGAAGACTAACAGGGAAAAAATAAACCTGGAGGAGTGAAGTGGTCACTGTCGACTGTTTGAAACAAAACACTGATTTTTGTGAAGGCGTTACAGAATTTAGATCAGCATGTGCAAAGAGTGCATAATTCACAATCATGTCCTTATTTTGATGGGAAGCGCAAAAGCCAGCAGCACTGTGTGGTGGCATCTAAGGGGTTTATTTTTTTAGTTATTAAACAGATATTAAACAGCACAGCAAAGACATTGCTAGCCACACATATCCACAGGTCAGGGGTCAGGTCCATGCACTCTTTATTGTTGGCCTTCCAGTCTTTCAAGTCATGTCTCAAGTTTTTCTCCAAAAATGCCCTTCTTTTTTTAATAGAAGGCTGCAATTCTCACCTAACCACATGGCCAGGACCAAACAGCACCAGGGGCCGTAGAGACAGAGGGAATGTATTTCACACATCAGCACAGCAGGGAAATGAAAATCCAGAATGAAAATTCCCCATGGATGTCGCCTGTAACCTTGTTAAATGTTCTAGGTGTCGGGCGGTAGGTGTCACCATTTCCCATGCACAGCCTTCCCTGAACGCCCTACAGCTCTGAGCACAAAGACCTACCACCAAAAACTGCACTTAGGAAACACGGGCAAAAGTATAAGCAAAAACTCAGCAGCAGTTATACAGCAGATTTTTTTTATCTAACAAGTTACCGCAATTTCAAAAATACCCTGTCATTTGGACAGAGAACACCCAGTCTTGCAATACTTGTTTTGCATATAAGAAGACTCGTAAGTATGCTGTTAAATTCTCAGGGTTATTTTGCATAAGGCATTTGGTATGTCCTTCAGATGTATATAGTTCGAAAATGCCATATTATTAATGGATTATCATTACTGCCTAGCTAGGCACTGGGCAGCTCTACATGGTAGTTCACAGAGTTTTCCTAAAAAAGAACGGTTCCATTAGAAATTCTCCTTAACTCCAGGACAGAGTCCCAGTCCCCAGCCTCCAAAATATAACTGACAATCAGTGATATTAGGGATCCATCAGCCAGGCCATGGATGTCCATTTTCTATATTCCAGAAAGAAGTATAACTTGATCAATAAACATTTTCTGGAAGATATCACAGATTTTTGGTTGAGTGGGTTTTTTTTTGTTTTTGTGGTTTTTTGTTTTGTTTTTTGTTTTGTTTTGTTGTTGTTGTTGTTGTTGTTTTGTGTTTTTTTTTTCAGAAAGACATTATGAACTTAATTCATGGAGTTACAAATTTAATCATTTCAGATAGCTGAACATTTCCATATTGCTGAAAAACATCCCAACAGGACAGAGATTATGTTGCAGAAAAAAATGGTATCAATAGTATATACTAATTAATGACATAATGGTAAAAGAGGCTGGAATTACAACAGAGTACAGGAGATAGGAGGGAGAGGAATGAGTTGTAATAGCACAAGGAAAGGTCAGAACCTGGATTTTGCCAGTCCCAGAATCTGATTACCATCTCAAGAACAGAAAAAAACCTGACCTGGATTTCTGGCTTGACAATGAGCCTTTAAAGTGATATCTCTAAGGAGACAGAGCTGACAAATGAAGTCAAACTCTTTTTGGCATCTAGTTATGTTAAAATTGCAGATTTAACTAGTTAGCCATATCTGGCCAGATGAAAATAAGCTCCTGCTGGACTGAGTTAATTGGCCATATATTATGATAAACAGTTTGCTCTTTTCCACCAATTCATTTGCTTGCTCTATGTGTGTACATCAGAGTCACAGCTGCTAATGTCAGCTAACTGAGGTCCAGTGAAGAAAACCCATGTTGATGTACAGCCCATTAAAAGTCATTAAAGTTTTGGATGCATATTTGTGACTCTGTACCAAAACAATGATCAGAGAAAGAATCAGCAGGGGCAGAGCACAGGAAGGTCGACTCTTGTTTTACATAAATGAATGTGAAATCTGGACTCTGACATGGTTAAGCAATAGGGGAGGGAAACCAAGGGAAAAGACACCACACATTTTTCAAGAAAATAAAAAACCAGCTATTTTTTGTTACATCACAAACTGATTTTTTAAAAAATCTTCTATTTGGATCCATCATCCAAAAAGCTCCAGTATAAACTACAAGCTGTTAAAAAGCCAGTGCTCTGACATTTTACTTAAGGATGTGGAAAGAGCTTCTACACATGACAGCAGATATTCATCTTCCTTGCTCCAAATTTTGCTAACTGCATAAGTGGGAAACTGGCTCAGCTCCTCTAAACCTCAATATAAAGATGTCTTAGTCATTGACCGATAAAACTGAAAAGGATGATAGCACTATTTATACCTGAATTGGATACTTTCATGAATGTTTTTTGCCCTGTTACAGAGATGTATAAGCTTACCAGTAATTCGGTTTTCAATTTCCCCTTGCATCTGGAGGGAGTCCACATAAATGGTCCTGTTTCCAATGATTCGTGCACACGCAATTCCCCTGTATGGCTGACAGAACCCGTCTTCATGGTAATCTTCTCTGCAAAAGACAGGTTAGAATTTTATAAGCGGAAGTCTAGCTGTCCCCAATGAATTTTTACAAAATACATTCTTATAAAAGGAGAAAAGCCCAAAAGACTGTAAATCTGAAATTGTTCCATTCCCCAGGTGCAGCTTTCTCCTCCAATTCTCTCTATGCTACCTTAGAAGTATTAATGAGGCACCCTGTAAATAGCTCATTAGAGAAAGAAGTAAACCAAAACCCAAGATTAATTTAAAAATCATATGCTAATAGTAATAGGATTTGACAGATGAATCTATTAAAAAGCTGTTAGACTGAGACAGCAACATAGATCTTGTTACATGTCCCGATGCATTTTTGGCATCTAGCTGCACCCAGTACAATTAGGCAAACGGTTCTCTTCTCCCACCTCTCTCTCCCTTTCTTCATTTCCTGTAATGAACAGCAGAAAAGACTTTGCCAAGCTTTAATTAAAACATGGAATAATTTTGAACTCTGAATTAAGTAAACAGAATAAAAAGTAATCAAGGTTTTAACCTCTTTTCCTCATCTCTTTAGTCAGAGTCAATGCCAAATCCCACTTCCAACATGTATTTTAATATGCTTTTCAATTCAATGAGGTTTTGGGCCAAATTTTACTCCCTGGACATCAACATAAATATTTTGGCATAAAAACACTAGCCTAAAGGCTCAGTTCAACGCATCATCCCCAAAGCCCCAGTAAATAATACAGAGCTGATCTGTAGATCATAACTGTCTGAGCACTGAAAAGGAGCTTCAGAGTGAGAGCATTCTCAGAGTTAATATCCAGTATGCTGTGTGTTTCCTCTGGTAGGGCATGGCCTCCGTGCTAGGATTCACTAGCCTGATGGATTCACATCACATCATTCGCTGCACGATGGACCAAAAAAGGCATAAAATGTAACCTAGAAAACCATGACTTTAGAGTAATACTAGAACACCCAAAAGCTTAATCAGCTTTTGTAACTAAACAGCCAGTTCAAAAGTCTGAGGGACCTCTCCTATACCAGTGATCTTGGAAGTATTATTTCAATACTCTTCTGCACTTTGTACTTGGTTATCTTCGGATATCAATACCTGTTTTGGTCACCCATGTTTCCACTTCTCTTACAAATACCTTCATCCTTCCTTAGTGTGCCACATAAGTAGGACAAAACTGTTAGTGAATACATGTAAAACCACATAACTCCAGCTGGGCCAAATCAGCACGAAAACCTGCTGCTTGAAAACAGCTAGCCATGATGAGCACATCACCCAACACCTATGCAGTGACGAGCGCAACCCATTATTTCCAATATCTTATTCTGTCTTAGGAACCTCTTTTCGTTTTTCCTCTGCTGTGCCTCCCTGATAAAGCTCATCTCTTCAAGGAAATGTTACTAGTATTTCTTAAAGTATAAACTCTTTGGCAGTGGAAAGCTGGGCAGGACAGTCCATATAGTGTAGCCAAAAGCTGGTCACCACTCAAGCAGCATCTCCCCCTTTCCTCCCAGAAAGACAATGACTTAACAGGGCCTGATCCATCACACAGCTGCTAGATAAACCATGGTGATATGAAGTGTCTCATGCAGTTGTTGTCCAGATCTGGCCTTTATTTCTCATCATAGTAAGACTGTTAAATATTCATAAAGCAACATTTTGTCTACAAACTCTGAAACAAGTTCTGCTTCCACAAAGACATACAAGTTTTTTATTATGGTGGATGACATAAAGGAGGAGTCTTCCACAATCAATTAATTCCTGCAGTGAAATTCTTTCACTCTCATATCAAAACTTCCAATTTTGCAACAATTGCATCATGCCTGAAGCAACAAAAATATCAAAGCATTTTGTCTGTGCCTGCTTTATGATCCTTGACCACCTCACTAGGAAGTCAGTAATTCCCATAAGGAGCTGAATGAACATGAAATCCCTATTTGACGTCCTTCTCAAGAGTAAATTCATACCCCTATCTTGCAGAGCAAAGTCTGCAATGTATCTAACTGAAACTGTACCTCACACTTCAATTCTCAGTGCAGGGCTCTTTTGCCAGCACAAAAAAAAAAAAAAATCTATAAAAAATAGCACTCCAAACAGCATGGGTTTGGTGACAATAACAGTGTGATCTCTTACTTAGCTCAGTTTATTTATTTCTGTCAAGAACTTCTAAATACAGCTTAGATACTATAGATACACACATATGCTCCGCTCTCCCATGTTATAGTCAACTGCCGATTAAACTAAACTGGATATGACCATTACCATGGATGCAAGCAAAAGTAAACAGTAACCTGATGTCAGATACTCTGACAGAAGCTGGGCTGTTATTCTACGTGCATCTTTGTCAGGTCAGGCAACTCAGTGAATACAGTTTGACTAGTACTAGTGATTGAGAGGACAAAATTACATTAGTCTTCTTAAGAATATAGTTGATTTCAACAAAGCTGCAGAAGTGGCTGCACTAGAGTCTACTTAGAGATAACCCTTTTCCTCGGCTACATGTACACTCAACACATGGTAAAACATCAGCAGCAAAAATCAGGCTGGGGGGGAATCTGATAAAACAGCACAGGAGTAGCATCATGCTCAGTTCAAACAGGAGTCTTTGGAACCACATGTGGCTTTGATTCATGCTCCAAACCATATGCCAGCAATTCAGCTGCTGATCAGAGCGAGAGTTAAAAGCTGCTCAAAATAGGCAGAAATACTGACTCTTCAATTTCCTGCTGCTTGTGCTGTAAAGTCTGCTCTGATCAAGAACCCTGGTAAAAGCAGAAATCTGACTCCACAAGAGGAATCCAGAAGAGTTCAGTTTGTTCCACTTGCAGAATCTTACAAGCTAATGGCCATAGGTACTTTCCTACCTTTGTTCTTTATTGTTTCCTTCTGAATGTTTCAAGATGGCATTACCTTTTCTCACTGGTATTTTTCTTCCATTTTTATAAAACTGTTTTTTTTTACGAAACAGAGTCAGGAACATCCTAAGTGTTGACCTTTTTTCACCTTTGCTGGAGGGCAGTCTCAAAGACAGCACACCTGCAATATGAATTTTCTGAGCACTCCATTAGAGTCTAGGTAAGGTATATTCTCCTACTGAGAGAACTCTCCTCCCAACTACTTGTCAGATGTCTGACCAGAGCTTGGATTTAAAAATAAAATCATAAAGAATCTGAATAAACAGACCCTCTGTTCCTAAAACCCCAACCTCCATTTCTTAGGATGAATGCCATTAGTTTTCCAGACCCATAAAGTGATCTTCTGCCAGAACAATAAATTTAAGAATGAGCCTTTCTAATATAAAGCTAAAATAGGAGAACCTTTTATTTTGGTCACACACAAATAAACCTGAAACACTGATACTACTTTTATGTACAACATGAGGTGTCTTTAAGATTGACTGGGCTTACCAGGTCTGGAAACTTCTTGAAGAACCAAGCACTGATAAGATATTTACAAGTTCCTTATCACACATGCACTGCACTGACTGATTAAACACAGTCTGCCTTTGGGTTTGTGGGCAGAGAAAGTCTGTATGAAATGGTGAATTAACCAAACAAGCAATGTAAAAGAAAGATTCAGGTTCAGTGGTATGGTGCCAGTTGAGGCTCCTCCCACTGACAGAAACCATAACTTTGAGGGACATCTGGGTCTATAAAGGAAGCACTGGAAGAACCAGGTGCCTCTGAATAGCAATAAAACCCAGCATGCATGAACAGGAATCTATCTAGATGGAGTTCATGCAAGACTTCCATAAGGTAGATATCTCCTCTAGGAGTACACGGAGACATTTCTAGGCATACTGCATGTGCTGCAAAAGCATACTGAACGTTGCCACCCCCACCCTCCCATGAAGCATTACTTTAATTTCACATGTGACACCGAAAGAACACCGAACAAAAGACTACAAAAGAAAATACCTAGGAAACAAAGAGACTTTTCTTAATGGAAAATCTGAAATGCTGAAAGAATGCATCTGGGCACAATACACTATATGATATCTATGTAACACAATCTATTGTATGCAACTGTCACAGCTGAACAGTCCAGAGGGCATATGAAACAAAAAAGTCCCAGTAAATAAAAGACAACCATGGAAACTCTGTTCAATACTAAAATCACCTTGTGAAGCACATTAAGTCTGATGAAAGCTTTCAGTATGTATTTGGTGAAAATACAGTGAGCGCAGACCTAGTGGTTTTGCTGAAAGATAGAGAAAACACACAAAGGCATAACAATCTAGCAAGGCTTCATGAAGGGAATTCTGAAAGCAGAGTTGAGAGGTACTACATATTTATTTGCTAGTAAGATATCTTTTTCCTGGTTGTATCCCGCAAACTTAACTTACACAGACAACAGAAACTTGTAAGTTAAATCTATTTTCCTGAAAATAGAAGAGACACAACACTGTGCATCAGCCATAAAAAGTAACCCAGAAAGAAAAACTTTTTTGATTGAATACATTAAAAAACCCAACTCATTTAATAAGACACTACCAATCTACCCTTGTAATAAAATGAACAAAAATGTTACTTAAAATTATAATTTCAGTATGATTTATTTTAATATATTCAAATAATAAATTTACAAGTTATTTGGAGGGATACATCCTCAGCTTACACTTTACCAAAGTAAAAAATCCTAAGCCAATTCATAGAATATAACAGGATATTCCAGAGGTTAGTTTTTAAAAAGACAGTAGAAACTTCGTTAGAGCAGTTTCCCACAACCAAACTAAGTGCAGTTAAAATTTCCTATAAATTTTCCCACAACAAATAACAGACTTGAAGTTTTGACCGTCTTTCATATTGTCCAGCTTTTAAGTAAAAACTGGTAAACACTGAGAGAGAATATTGGGACTCCCCTTCATATTCCGTTACAAGCAGAGTGGTAAAGCAAGGAAAAATGCACAGAAAACCACAGTTAGATGGTGACAGATGAAGTAAAGGACAAATTATTTATGTCATCCTATTTGTTATGGGTAGAGAAGTACGACATTTGGTATATGGGCACTCGTCCTG